ATCTACAATGATGCAGAGATGCTTTTGAACTCAAAAGTGGAAAGTGAAGAATGAGCAGTTCCTGTGCTTGTTTTTGGTATCTGCAATTCATAGTTCGCAATTTACTTTCTCCAAGAAGAATACATATGATCGCATCTGAAAAATATTACTGTTAATGTGACTATTAATTGTTGCTTGGTTAAAAGTCAGGTTGTTCTCCAGCGTAACCTCTTCATCAGAGCACACTTCCAATAAAGATGACTTAAGCAAGTGACACATAAATTCTAGCTATTTCAATGAATGATTTGGTATAGTTACCTAATCATTGCTAAAGACAAGGGAACTATGATGAATGAATCAATGTATAATAGTCACATCACATCTAAGAAATTTAGATAAACTTTTGTTTTTTTTTTATTTATTAAATAATTTTATAGGAGGTGAATTAAAGCAATTCATTTAGATTGTTATGCATCTTGTAATGATATTAAATTGTTATGCGTCTTATAATAATATTAAATTGTTATGGGGCTTGTAATGATAATAAATGAAATAATCCATACAATTTTCATTTAAGAATTTATTTTCTATATTAGACAGAAGAAAGAAAAGTCAAGTTTTGTTTCTTCTTGTACAATGTTTTTTGGCAGCAAAATAATATACTAAGTATATAAATATAGTGTAATAAATAAGTAGTGTAATATACTAAATATATAAATATGCAAGTAACATAATATACTAAATATATAAATATGCAAGTAACATAATATACTAAATATATAGATAAGTGATGTAACATTGATGTAACATGCTAAATATATACGTAAGTGACGTAACATGCTAAATATATACGTAAGTGGCATAACATGCTAAATATATACGTAGGTAGCATAATATTTTGTTTTTCCAATGCACCTTTGAATTTTGATGTCACATTTTCTGTCCTTTTTTTTTTATACTTGCTTGTGTTTAGTTTCTCCAATTTGTGGTTCACAATTTACTTTTTCCAAGAAGAATACAGGATTGCATTTGAAAATATGTTAATAGGTGACTCAGTTAAGAAACATACAGAATCTGACAAAATATTTCTCCTGATGCTTAGACATTTATTAATAATCTTCAAATAACCAAGGACTTTGGTGCCAGATAGTAAACTTCAGTCTTTTGTAGCCTACAATCCAGTATCCTAGTCTCTACAGCAGCATTCCCCAGAACCCTAAAGTTCTGCAAAAGATCCCCAAGGTTTCCAAAAGAACAGATGAGATAAGCTAATGCACTTTTGACGTTTTATTTAATTTAAGCAAAAGACAGGCACAGGCTTCACATTAGAGAAGCATGTTTCACTTTATCAAATGGCTCTGAATGTAACATTTTCTTAGTCCATTTATTGGTTCACAGGACATTTTACCTTGATTTACCTTATGTCTTTTCAACATTGCCAGTAAAGGATAAAAAAAAAATGAAAAAAAAATGATGCTGCAATTATCTGTTTTCATTGTGTTTACATTTATAGGTATATGATATTGGTTACTTATGTTTATTTTTTATGTTTGGGTTTAGAATTTTTTTTCGTGTAAATGAAAACTCCCTGATGAAGTATTATAAATGAACAGTATGAATTTTATTTAGCATCACCAAAAAATTTGACAAAGAAGTATTAAGTTTTCCTTAAACCAGTCTTTCAAAAATATATATTATGATATTTACCACGTGAACTACGATGAAAATGAGAAAGATATGGTATATAATTTTGTTTTTGCGCAGGGATTCCTTGAGGCATGTAATTTATTTTAAGGGTTATGCAAGGTTAAAAAGTTTGAGAAAATCTGCTCTACAAACATGACATTTGAAGATATTCACACTTTTTCTTGCGTTTTATAAGCTAGACATTTGATTTGACTCTCTTTGGTGTTTAATAAAAATTTATCCTGATTCAAAATACACAGTTTCATCTTTTTTTTTTTTTTTTTTTTTTTTTTTCCAGTCTTAATTAGGTCTTTCAATAATAAAAGGACACAACTTTATTGACTTATACACACACACACACACACACACACACATATATATATATATATATATATATATATATATATATATATATATATATATATATATATATATATAATAAAAATGTTTATTTGGGTAACAACTTTTCTTTCAAACATTTTTTATTGAATATGACAGATAAGGAAAATTTGATGAATTTCTTTACCTTTTTTTAATATTCTTATATTTTTCTGTTCTATGGGAATAAGATAGTGTAAAAATTGTCTGTAGCACTTATTGTTCTTAGCACTTTTGGCCACATCTTTAGCCATTTTCAAGGGGTTTGTTGTTGAGTGTTAATTTCTTTTCATGGTTGTCTGTTTGAGATGTAGTGTATGATGCCTATATAAAAGTAGCCTAGTTCCTAGCTCTGTGAAAGGAATGTGACTGGAATTTGAGTTGGTGTCTTTCTATTTTAAAAATTTTTTAACTAACACGCATGCACACACACACACACACATATATATATATATATATATATATATATATATATATATATATATATATATATATATACACATACACACTATTAATATATTCGGTGCAGGTTTTTATTAAATTCATTTTCTATCAATTTTTTTTCATAAGTAAATGGACCAGTCCATGATCTGAACAATAGATTATAAATACTGAAATATTGCACAGTCAGTTTTCAATTTATGCTTGATGATTGGCAATTGCATGGAACACAAAGTTGCACCAAATTGTGAGGAACACATATATATTTATTCTTAGTATAAATTTGAGCACTATGTGCCATTTTATATAAACAGACAAGAATGGAACCCTAAAAAGGCCAGAGTATAATCTGATTTACCCCCACCTCTGTACATTTAACAAAAAATCATTAGTAATTTAATAAGCACTTACATGAGACCTGTAGAGTACACAAGATATTTAACAAATCTTGCTGCATGGAAAATACTTCAATTAGTAAACAAGAAGATCTCTGGGGATCCTAATCATAATTTTACCCACAACTCCTGTAACTATAAGTTAGGAAAGATGTCCTTTAGAGAGTAATTGTTTAATGAATAATGTTGTATACCAAGCTACAGTGATAGTGGATAACAGACCAGATATGGTGTATATTGAATTTCTGAAAAAATTTGTTACTGTAAAGTTTTCAAATCCTAAGACCTTATTTAAGAGTGGGACAATCTAGAAATAGTACAACAACTGTCAAGGTATATATGGGAAGAGAAAAATAAATGTTGACAAATGCCTGAGTTGAATTGGAAGTTTGTGAAAAAGACATTTGTGTTCACTGGGATCAAATTAGTGTTTGATAGAAAAAAATTAAATATAGTCACATTTTCTGATTAGTCATTTATTAAATAATAATCTGAAGTTGTCTCTAAATACAACTGTGGAAATGAACTTGTGTCATTTACCCTTTGATTGATGAATAAAATGTGCATGTGGGTATTCATAAATAAGCAATTAACTTGGTTTCTTAATCAAAATGCCTGATGATTGCTTCTTACCTTGAGATATTTTCGTTGCAAACTGAAGTTACTATTCATAATTTTTACCTGGTTTTACTGTTCTATGAAAGTTTATTGATTATTGAATGCTTTTTTATGTAAAAACGGTTCATCAATAATTTTCATTGGATTGTCTACTACTCGTCCTTGCTTTGAATATTGCTGTCACATCTGGTCTGCTGCTTCTGCTATGTATTTAGAAATTCTTGATAAAAACCAAAGAAGAATCTTTTAATATTATTAGTCCTAAACTGGTATGTCACTTTCCCACCACTGTAACGTAGCTTCCCTGTGCCTTTTTTTATAAATATTTTCATGGTAATTGTTCTGATGAGCTTTCCTCTTTGATGTCTAGAATTTATGAATTTAAGTGCAGTACTAGATTGACAGCTAGGTCTCATCATTTTAGAGTTGAAATATCTAGATATAACTGTAATTTCTATGCTAACAGTTTGTTTATTTTCCTCACCTGTGTAGACTTTCTTCTTGCCTTTCAGGCCAACTATGATCTTTAAAAATTTAAATGCAATGTCAATCGTTATCTTCTGTCTTTTTAATCCCTGTTCTTTTATTGTTCTCTTTCCTTAATAATATTTTATTTTTCCCATATTCTCTCACATTTGGTAGTAACCCCTTGCATTTTAGTGGCTTTATTCCCTTGCTTGGAGTGAAATGATTAATAAAGAAAAAATATTGTTAAATTTATTCTGTTTTCTGTATATGAACTTGTAACTTTGAACCAGTGTCTGAGTGAGTAAGTTTTTGTAACGACTAGTATATTTAATATATTTCTTCAAATAATCACATTTTTAAAATTCTCTTATGATGTCTTTTTGAAGCTATCAGAAGGCGAAAAGAGTTTAACAAAAAATGATCTGATAATTTAAAATATCTTTCAATTTGCCTTCCTCCCACTGATGTCTGTGTTGACTCCTTTCTCATGCAAACGTTCTTACAAATTTAATCTGTATTCATTTTCATATTGTTTCCTAGACTTACTCCAATGACTTTGTTTTTCAAAAAAAAAAAAAACCCCTCAAAAAAAACCTTTATTTGTGCAAAACTACTTTCTAGCTTTTTCTCTTTCAAAAATTTTTTTTTAACCTTTGATCAGATTATAGGTTTTCAGTTTGTAAAAATTATATTATTTTAAATAATATCTTTTTCTCCCCCCCCCACACACTTTTGGAAAATTGTTTCTGTTTTTCTGTGTGTAAACAACTTTTATCTATAGAAAAACTTAAAACATTTAATGCAAATCAAATTTACTGTTCAAAGAGCGCAATTACCAAATAAACAGAAAAGAAAATCTGGTCATTTATTTTGAAACTTTTGCTAAGACAAAAAAAAAAAATCACTTTTTACATAAAGTTAAAAAAAAAAAAAAAAATTGAAAATATTTCCTCAGTTAAAACATATTTCAACTGTTTGATTTTGATTTTTTGTTTCTCGGAGTTTAACAGCAATTCTTCAATAATCCCTGCAAGCATGTGTAGCTTATTGACATGCGTCGACCTCTGTCTGTCTCTATTCCATATTTCTGTCTCTTCCAGAACTGAAGGTCCTCCTGATCAGTCCAAGAAGGCATTGAAAAAGCAACAGAAAGAAGCAGAAAAAGCTGCCAAAAAGGCTGCCTATAGACAACAAAACCAGGCTCAACAGCAGCAGCAGCAGCAGGTCAGTCTGGTGTGTTTTTCAGGGTTAGTACCATTGGTACTAGTAGCAGTACTTATCAACTATGGCGCAACTACTATTCATAGCAGTTGGTTGGTGGGTAGCTGTGAAAAAAAAAAAAAAAAAGTCTTGAATTCAGTGTATTTTCATCCTGTTCAATTTGGGTAATTCATACTAACTCTACAAATAATAGTAGTACAGGTTGTGTCATGACATCATCTACTGTAACTATCCAGTCTTGAATGTAGGACTATTAGTCAACCTATGAATGGTACCCAACTGCTATGCTAGTTGCATTATTGATAAGATTTGTACCAATGCTGTAACTATCATTACCAGTTACCATTCACCTTCAAAAAAGTCTATTCACTTTTCAATACTAAATTATTTTTATTTACCTTTTTGCTTATATCAAATTGATTGATCTTTTAGCTTTTAATCAAGATAAAACTTTCAGATGTAATAAATTTGGATGTTTTTTTTTTTTGTTTTTTTTATTAAATTTAACTTGATTCCTATCACATTTTTGGTCAAAATGCTATAAAAATATATTTTTATATTTCCAAAAGATAGGGTGCTGAAAATTTCTGGCCTAATCTGACTTCCTAGAATCTGTCTAATGACTAAACATCAGAATTTAAAAAAAAAAATTTTTTTTAAGGGTTTGTTTGTTCAGCTGAGAACTTTTCAGCACCCCTCCCTCTCCATCTCTCTAATATGTATATATAATATATATATATATATATATATATATATATATATATATATATACACATATATATCTATAAAAATTAAATATATTCACTGACCTCTGCTTTCTTCTTGAATAAGAATAAGGTGACTTTTTAAGATGTTGCTTTTTGCATTTTTGTTTTGTTTTTTTGTTGTTTTATTTTTGCATTTGCTAATGTATGCAAATGTTTGAAAAATGGACACCCAGGAAGCCAAAAGCTTGATTATTATTTTCGAAGAGACAAACGCACACATAAAAATGTTCTCTTTGCAACTCTCAGCATTAAATGTATCGCATACATACACACACACACACACACAGCCTTGTGTAGGATCAGGTAATTCATTTGTTTAATTTGTCAAATAATACAGGAAAATCCTTTTTGAATTGAAAAACACCTCAGACTTTAAAGGAACTTGACCTTCCATTGTTCCCACTTTATTATCTTTAACCAAGATTACGAGTTCCTGATTACAAAAAAACCCCCCAAAAAACAATCATTTTCTTGTTTCTTTAATTTTAATTACACATTTTACAAAAATAGATCTGACAGCCACATCATGTTGAAACACCGGTTCCTGTATGATCACTAAAGTTAAGCAACATCAAGCCTGGTCAGTACCTGGATGGGTAACCGGTTGGGAATACCAGGTGTTGCAAGCTTGGATGTGCAGGTGGTGTAATGGATAATGGCTTGGAATTATTAATCGCAGAGTCTGGTTACAATTCCTGTTGGGTTCCTTATATTCACTTAAGCATAAATACCCTTGGGAAAAGGCATGAATCCACCTCTTCTCCCCCCAAGCTATGGATTAATTTGTAAGACTTGTATCACTAAACATCATTATCTAAAAAAATAAATAAATTCTTATAATCTAAAAGTATTTTCTGGCATGAAATAACCTGCAAAGGTTTGATAAGCCACAGAAAATGAATCAATCAAACCAAATAAAAAATAGAGCAGACCCACACATCAAACTCATTCCCAGAAATATAAATAGGAAAAAATAAAATTTAAAAAAAAAAAAAATGAAATAAAAAAAAAAATGAAATAAAAAAAAAAATGTTTCATTATTGATTATTTAAAAAAATAATAATCAAGATTGAAATATTTTTACCAGGAATTATTTTTAAGTGTTTTACCCACACCATCAAAACTAGTTTTTTGGCCCCTGTTTCTTTCACTTTGTGTCTGTCAGGTGTTTTTTTTAGTAATAAGTCATAATAAACTGAAGTTGTTTGGATTTCTTAGATGAAGTATTGTCATTATTATTAATTTATTTATTAATGTTGTATTTTTAATTGCAATTTCTCCAGTAGTTTTTCTATGATTAACTGTTCTGCTCAGCTGTATAGAACTGCTTTCTCCAATTGATAGTTACAAATGTCTTTGGGCAACTGTAGCCCGTAGGTCTTAGGGTAAACAATCTGTCTTCGAACTTTGCAGAGTGGCACTAAAGAGTCACAAAGAAAGAACTTTACCAAATAACAGAAACCAAATCACTTGAAGACTTTCAACAATGGCAACAACTAAAATGGAAGTAATTCTAAGAGAAAATAATCATATAATGAAGATATTGACATTCTACACTACCACAAACAAAAGGTTAGGAAGGAAACACCCATCAATACCTGAAAGAGCAGTAGCAGTTACTGGATTTGAGAAAGTGCTGAAAAATTGTTTTTGGTGAAAGATTATATAAATTTTAACTGAAAGTAGCACGTTTTGATACTTTTGTATTAGTATTATGATTTCACATGTTAATCTTTAAATGTATATATATTACCTGTTATTGTTGTATGTTACTCTTTCATAGAATCAGTCTTTTCACCTCTTAGAACAATCTGCAATTATCTTAGAAAGACTCACTCACTATCACTAGTGTAATGAAGATAATTTTGTTGCAACAAAAAGTTACAAACAACTTAAAAACACATTTGAAATATTTATATTGTGCATCTTTAGCTATATATATATATATATATATATATATATATATATATATATATATATATAAATATGTATATAAATATATATATATATATATATATATATATATATATATATATATATATATATATATATAAATAAATATATAAATATATATGTGTGTGTATATATATATATATATATATATATATATATATATATATATAAATATATATAAGTGTGTGTATATATATATATATATATAAATGTGTGTATATAAATATATATAAAATGTGTGTATATAAATATGTGTGTGTAATATATATATATAAATGTGTGTATATAAATGTGTGTGTGTGTGTATATAAATATATATATAAATGTGTGTATATAAATATGTGTGTGTGTGTATATATATATATATATATATATATATATATATATAAATGTGTGTGTATATAACATTTATAGTAATTCATCGAGTCTAGAAGAATCCTCAACAGAATGCAGAAAGCACTGGACAGCTGTTTTGTCCTATATGTGGGACTCATCAGCAGTGCACATCCACTACCGAGAATCGAACCCAGACTGTTAGGATACAATGCAAGTGTCATATTACTGGACCAGTGGGCCACGGTGACGAAGTAGTAACTGACTAGACTCATAACGGTCCAGGTCCAGTTCTCGGTAGTGGATACCCACTGCTAATGAGTCCTAAATAGGACGAAATGGCTATCCAATGCCTTCTGCATTCTGTTGAGGATTCTTCTAGACTTGATGAATTACTATAAATGATTATTAAAATCCACAAAAAAATTTTCTATCACTTATATATATATTACCAATTTGTGACTGATAGGGATAATTCCAAGTAGGATATTAATCCAGAGAGAGCTCAATGTAAACTACAAAGCATTATAATAATAATAATAATAATAATAATAAATGAAGAAGAAAACCTTAATGATCCATTTATTTTGTGAATATTTCTATATTCATCTCTTCAGACTGAAAGTTCTTAATAAATTTAAATTTTATTTAGAACTTTAGGTCTAAAGAAATGAATATAGAAATATTCACAAAATAAATTATAACCGAAATGGATCTTTTAAGGTTTTCTTTTTGATTTATTATATATATATATATATATATATATATATATATATATATATATGGAGAGAAGGAGATCACCGCCCCTGTGGGATCATGTTGAGATCATAGACAGGGAACACCATTGGAAAATTCGTAAACTTCAGGAATCAGCACATATGCTAGGCCACAAAAATCTCCTGAGCCGACCAAGCATAGAAATAAATACAATATGGGAACCAGTAATAAGGAGTGCCAGAGAAAAGCAATGATAACAAAGTTGCAATATGAACTCTGGTAAAGACATGCAATGATAACAGCAAAAATTGCAATATGAGCACTGGTAAAATGATGCTGAAAACATTAGGTTTATAATACTCAGAAGTTCATACCCAGATGTCCTCATGGACACAGTGGATAAAGGCGTTGGTTAGATCCAGTGACAGACCCAAAGAAGGTGAGTTCAATTCCTGGTTAAGGCAGTGGAGAACTTTCAGAGGGAAAATTAGCAGGAGATAACTGATAACTGACATTCATCAAACATGGCACATGGAATTAGCGATCGAAATAAAGGGTTCAGTTCGAAATTCCAACCACCTGAAGAAGGCCGGAGCGTACAACGGCCGAAACGTTGTGATCTCAAAGTGTAGAAGAATGAACAATAAGATTCAGCGTTCAGAATATTAATTATAAAGTAGAGCTGTAAATATTTATTTATCTTATGCAGTGTTACATTAGAACATGCACATATCCACTACAAAATTGTACATTTTTGTTTCAACATCCAAAAAACGGAAAACCTTTTTTAAACGTCTCATCAGGGGAATCACAGTGTTACTACTACGGTTTTAAACAACATTTACCAGCCTGAATGTCTGAGAAATTTTCATAGAAAATATTCGTCCTCCAATAGGATTCGAACCTGTATCCTATACGGAAGCATCATATAGCCTGACGTGCCTCTTAACCAATTCGGCCATAGAGGATTGTTCGGTTAAAAAGCAATTTATTCTTTACTATTTCAAGATATTTTTGTGTAATTTTGGTAAATCTATCGGTTAAAATGACATTGTATTATTTTCATTTTTGCCTAATTTAAATGGCAATTTATTCATCGCACCCTGTATATGATAAGATAAAAAACAAATAAGAAACATTTATCAATCTAACATGTTTCACTTAATGTTTCATCAGAGAATGAGGTATGGTGTCATTTTCACGTTTGCATAATTAAGACAATAATTTATCCATCACACTCTGTATGTTTGGTTTATTTTGATTTACGGAATATCGACCTCAGTGGGTTATTTAATGCCGACAACATTTTTAGGATAGATTTGTATGAATAGAGTATGTATTCTTTGGTTTAGATTGGTTTGGTTTATTTTGTTTTACAGCATATCAACCTCAATGGGTTATTTAATACTGACAAAAATTTTTATTGCTGGTAACATTTTGCTTTGTCAAAAATTTGTTTCTGGTAATATATTTCCTTCAAAATTGTATTGCTGGTAATAATTTTTTTCAAAAGTATTGCTAGTAATAGTTAACTATTTTCCCATAGCTGGGACCCTAGCAGGTGCTACCACCCCAGGTCAGGGTGGACCTGGGAACACCAGCAATTAAGAGGCAGTTCCACGCTTCTCAAAACCTCCTGATCAGAGGCCTTGCTGCTGGACGTAGTTTAACGTCTTACCCAGGACGTATGTATGTGTGTGTGTATATATATATATATATATATATATATATATATATATATATAGGTGGAACAAAACTTGTATACAGATGATATATGAGACATTCCTAGATGTGCTGGATGGCATGCATGACATCCTTATGATATTCTTGATCTGATGTCTATTTAAGAACTTGCAAACTCCATCAGAGTATATCTCATAGAATTACATTGCAAAGCACTCTGCTGAAAATTTGGCCATGCCATCTTTTCTACATAAAATTGCCCATCTGTTTGAAAAACCTGGAGATTATATGAACATTGTTTGAAAACAATTATTTGAAAAACATTTATTTGAATTGTAAATTGTTTGAATGAAAATTAATCTAGAGGACAATTTTACTAAATGACAACTATTCAAAATTCTTTATTGCAATAAAAATGCAAAAATTAAGAGGAAATACACAAGAGATAATTATTCAAAATACAAATATTGTTAATAAAACAATTTATAAGAAAAAATCCTTTTAACCTTAAGTTATATGATCTTTTTTCTTTTTATGTGCCATGTCCTTTTAGGACATGGGCAATCATGGCTCTCCACATCCTTCTATCCCTTGCAGCTCTGATCAAGTTCTTTCCCTCTGCCACCTACCCCAGACCACATTCTGTCATACTTTATGCAAATAGTCAATTACTAAAGAGTACTCGTTAAAGGATGCCACTAATATTTAAGTTTTCCATTTACATTGTGGTATTTTTTTGGAAGTCTTGATATTTTGGCAACCTGATCTTACTTTTGCACTATGAATTTCTTGCAATCCTATTCTCTTTTAAGAGTATCTAAGAATTTTGTGGGATGATGGGATGACAAAAATGCTATCCTTCAAGAGTGTTATTAGTAGGTAAATCAGCATTGACTCTCTGAAAGCAAGACCACATATGTATTTCAAACAAGTATTTTGAA